CAGGCCAAATAGGTTAGACAGTTAGACATGCTTAGACTACCAGAGGGTAACTCCCCAGCTTGTTCGATTGAGATTGCTCCAAACAAAAAACTAACTGGTTCAAGCTCATGTTTTCACCATTCCCATGAATTCCCATGGATGGTTTTGTCGTTGTCCTTAAGACGACGACCCGGCTTCAGGTCGTCGCAAGCTCCGTTCTTGCCTGGAATTGCATCATGGCTGTAATATGCTGTAATCTGGTGAAATAAAAACACCAGTATCACCAGAAATCGATGGGCATTCGCCATCAAAAATGCTGGGTTTGGTTGACATCTTGGGTGTTGATTGGGGATTTCATCAAAAAGAAAGGGACTAAACCAATAGTCGGATGTTGTTTTCTGGGACATATGCTGTATATATCTGTATATGATATATGAATACATAAGCAACAATATATGGTACATCGGACGCCTGAAAATTTGGTATACGCCTTAAAATATGTGTGTTCAGTCGTAGGGAAACGATGATTGATCAGTGGAATGGTGTACCCCATGTTCGGGCAAACCCTTACTGTACTGGGTACTGTATGTCCTGTGTATTCAACGGGTTCAAGTTCAACTGGGGCCGGGGTGTGTGGCAGTGTGTGGTTCAATGCCATGCAATCCACAATTTTGGGTTATGGATGGTTTTGGGTTATAATTATGGGTATACCGGTATACCGTATACCCCTATTTGAGATAATGCAAAATTAACCTATACGGTTGTCGGTTGCAGTCTATTGAATGTGCATCATTCGTCCCTACGGTGCTTCAAGCGTTGCTGAGTTATCTGAATTCAAAACACCGCCAGACTCTCCACCCCCATCACTGAATGTCATCCTAACTGTCACCGTTCAATCCCAGCCTTGGTACCAGACCTTTTGGTTCTTCATTTCGATGCCATACCTGCGCCAACCACAGCGTGCACTGACCACAGATCTGATGGTTGTCCCAGGGTCAACGGTGGTCCAACATCCTAAGGATGCCATTGCAGAATGATTTTGGGATACAAACAGCCACCCAAGCCATGCGATGATCTCTGAAGTTTGCAAATTGGGACATTTCGTGGCATAGAACCTAGTTAGGAAACCTCATCAATCATCTCAGTGCCAGATATACATGGGTTCATAAATCATGAATGCGTATGAATGCTATGAATGCTACCATGTCACACAGTACCATGTCATATTTAAGTTATACCAAATCATGCAATGTTTTTCCTTCGTTACACATCGACACATCTCAGGACAGACTCAGTTTGTCCAAACCCCGGTGCTTCTTGACCAGTTCTTCAGTCAAAACCCTTGGCCCTCCTTGGTGTTTCAAAATAATTAATCAAAATAACTGTTGTTTATGCCGCTGATAATTCATCCCTTAATCCTAAGGGATGAATCTCTGAGGACCCCCGCACTTGTTCCAATTTCATCTTGAGGCTTTCAACCTGCTCATTCTCACCAACCTCACGCGAAATCATTGGCAGTGCAGAAGAACGGCTGGAACAAAACCATCCCTTTATTGCTGGTTGATAGGGGTTCCAACAATGGATCATGTCATAGGCCCCCAATAAACCAGGTAGTATCTGTAGTATAACCGTCTATGACCACCAGGTTTTGACCACTGCTTGAGTGAGAGGAAGGCGAACCATAAAATGTGGTCCAAGTATGTGTTAGCCTTGGCAAAGCCCGTTGTTTTCCCCATAAGGCCGGAACCATGAGAACGCACTTCTGCTTTCCCAAGGTGAGCACTGAGATAGGGAAGCCCCCCATGACCTTCATGTCCTGCGAATTATCACAACAAGAGACCCCAAACAGTGTGTAGTTGGTTTGCAAAAAAGAGAGGTGGAAAGGACCTCAAATAATTAGTGGCTGCAAGCTAGCAGAACCAGAGCGAACATAGTAGTCAAAAGAAGAGATACCAGGTCAAATTCTGCACTGTGCGAAGATGTCTGTAGAAGATCGTGCGCAAGATCTCCTTGAGAGGTTCCCTGTAGAAGCTCCTGTGCAAGATCCCTGCGTAAGGCTATCTGTACAAGGTGTCTATTAAATTCTATTAATAGGAGAGCTCCACAGAAGATCTTTGTAAGGGACCTCAAAGTAAGATCTCTGTTCAAACATGTTCAAACTATCTCTAAATGATCTCCGAGCAAGACCTCTGCCCTCTTCACCAGGTCTATAAGAGGTCTCCTGGCAAGATCTCTGTACAAAATCTCTATAAAAGATCTCTCTGCACAGATCTCTTGAAGAGGTCTCTTGGCAAGACCTCTGGCCAAGATAGCTATACGAGATCTGTCGGCAAGATCTCCTTACGAGATCTCTGTACAAGCTGTCTATAAAAGCCCTCTTGGCAAAGATGTATGTAAGAGACCTCTTGGCAAGATCTCTGCAACAAATCTCCATGCAGTCCATGCACTGTCTCTGTGCAAGGTCTGCGGAAGAGGTGTCCTGGCAAGATCTCTGTCCAAGATCTGTATAAGAGGTCTCTTGGCAAGATCTCTGCAAGGAGCGTCTTGGCAAGATCACAACAAATCTCTATGCAACGTCTCTGCACAAGATCTCTTTATGAAATCTCCGTTACAAGCTCTCTAGAAGAGTTCTCTTGGCAAGATTTATGTAAGAGACCTCTTGGCAAGACCTCTGCAACAGATCTCCATGCAGTCCATGCACTGTCTCTGTGCAAGGTCTGCAGAAGAGGTGTCCTGGCAAGATCTCTGTACAAGATCTGTATAAGAGGTCTCTTGGCAAGATCTCTGCAAGGGGCGTCTTGGCAAGATCACAACAAATCTCTATGCAACGGCTCTGCACAAGATCTCTTTATGAAATCTCCGTTACAAGCTCTCTAGAAGAGTTCTCTTGGCAAGATTTATGTAAGAGACCTCTTGGCAAGACCTCTGCAACAGATCTCCATGCAGTCCATGCACTGTCTCTGTGCAAGGTCTGCAGAAGAGGTGTCCTGGCAAGATCTCTGTCCAAGATCTGTATAAGAGGTCTCTTGGCAAGATCTCTGCAAGGGGCGTCTTGGCAAGATCACAACAAATCTCTATGCAACGGCTCTGCACAAGATCTCTTTATGAAATCTCCGTTACAAGCTCTCTAGAAGAGTTCTCTTGGCAAGATTTATGTAAGAGACCTCTTGGCAAGACCTCTGCAACAGATCTCCATGCAGTCCATGCACTGTCTCTGTGCAAGGTCTGCAGAAGAGGTGTCCTGGCAAGATCTCTGTACAAGATCTGTATAAGAGGTCTCTTGGCAAGATCTCTGCAAGGGGCGTCTTGGCAAGATCACAACAAATCTCTATGCAACGGCTCTGCACAAGATCTCTTTATGAAATCTCCGTTACGTTACAAGCTCTCTAGAAGAGTTCTCTTGGCAAGATTTATGTACGAGACCTCTTGGCAAGACCTCTGCAACAGATCTCCATGCACTGTCTCTGTGCAAGGTCAAGGTCTGCAGAAGTCCTGGCAAGATCTCTGTACAAGAGCTGTATACGAGGTCTCTTGGTAAGACTCTGAAAGAGATCTGTCTATGCGAGATTGCCACAAAAGATCTCCGTGAGGGACCTATGTTCAAGCTATTTTACCAAATCTCTGAGAAAGATCGCTGCTCTCTTCACCAGGTCCGCGTACAAGATCTCTGATAAGAGGTCTCCTGACAGGATCTCTGTACAAGATCTCTATAAAAGCTCTGTTGGCAAGATCTCTGTAAGAGGTCTCTTGGCAAGATCTCTGAACAAGATCTTCATAAGAGGTCTCTTGGCAAGATCTCTGTACAAGCTCCCGATAAGAGGTCTCTTGGCAAGATTTCTGCATGAGATGTCTCGTTTTGTGCGAGGCTGCGCAGTCGAAATGCACATGGACATTTCACAAGAGCCATTTTGTTTGGAAATTTACAGGGAAAAAGCCGGACGCTAAGGATACCACCTCGATTGAACACCGGGCCTTAACTGTTACCGTAAGAACCCCTCAGTGTGGCCACACTGTTTGGGGGAAAAAAAGGTCCATGGAAAGGTGGAAAACTCAGGGAATCGCTTTATAGTAAACTTAATCATGTTGGTAAAACAATAATAAACCACCCCCAAATCAGATCACCATAAATAGGTCGTATATGGCCGTATGGTTACCACCCAAATGGGTGGTTTATGGCATTTTTTTAAACCACATTAAGCACCATAAAGATATTGTTGTCTGAGGATCTGGGGAGATTGCTGGCTTGGAATCTGATAGTGGACTAGCTCATTCAACCTACGGCCTAGAAATGAATCATCTCATTGAATTGGAGAATTCTGAGGTATCCGGACATGAGACTCTGAGGCACCAACTTGTCATGTTGATCCTTTGGGAACAATGAAACGAACTACTGTACTGTATGATACTGTATGTATAATAACTATATAATAGGTGTACGATTCCAAGAGAAACACGGTGGTCCTTGGACACCCAAATGGCCAATGTCCGGACCGGTCGAACGGAGGAAATCTTCACAGTTGTTGAGTTTGGATGAATCCAAGGAGTTATTTAAGCACAGATAGGTGGAACCCAGATGTTCGCCAACTGGAGATAGGTACATATCTCATGTCATAATCTGCGTGTATGTAGAAAGCGGATTTGGTGATCCATATTGATCCATGTATGTGCATTTTCACGTCCAGTGCAACAAGAATCGTGTAGCCCCTTGAGAGAACATGGCCAAATCCATGGCGGTTGGCTTTCAAGGTTCTCTAGGAAGACGGTTGAAGCTGGTGGGGATTGAACCATGTATGCTAGTATACCTCCAATTTTTGGCCAATGTAATAGGGACAGTGATGACTAACCAGTGTATGGAAGAGGGTGGAAGGGGGAAGACTAGCATCAAGCCAGTCGCCGCGACGTGAGGGCGTGATAATCTATCTAGATCTATACACGAGTGTTCTAGCCGGTGTAATAGGGATAATGATGATCAAGCAGTGGATGCAAGGGTTTTTCAACATGTTCAAATCCGCCCCCATCATCAGCTTCGACCACAACATAGGGTTGTCGGTGGGAGCCCCATGTTGAACTCTTAAGAACTGGGAATCCCAATGGGCCCGGAGAGGCTTCCATCCTGCCCCTGCCCATTATACACAAAGGTCACTGCTTGGTCGATGTCAGCCACTATTCAATTGAATCCATCTTCCATGTCATCAGGATGGAATCTCGTCTCAGATTTGGGCGTTCATCACCCATGTACAGCTTGACTAGGCGAAAGCTCCTTCCCTATTGCGGATTGGATAGATGCTCAACAATGTGTATTACTAAACTACGGACAAACCAAAGCAGCAGGGCGTGCGCATTTTACTCTGCCTCTGAGTGTGTCGACACAGCTGCAAATATCAAGTGGATATATTATATCATGATATGTCAGCAAACTCCGGAGCCTCAATGTGGCAGTGTCAGCATGCTTTCAGTGGCTGGTTTTCAAACAGCTCGGGTGGATGCAAGGAGCTCTGCTGCGAGTTCTGCAGCAGCCTCACCAGCTCCGTGGCAAACGTCGTACACGCAGTCCTCAAAGAAAGTAGAATCCTCAGCATTCCCATTTGCCATCTCTGCTCCCAAGTGTTTGGAGCAGCGCTTCTTGGCCTTACCCTCCTGTTCTTCGTTGCAAGTCATCCAAAATGCAGCAGGTGTGTTATCAAGCTGGTCCATGTCCAAGTAGGCTGCTGCTTCTTTGCTTCCTCCCAAATCCTGCCAGTTGGTGGTTTCAACCTACCCCGGAAAATATCAGTCCAGGGATCCATCCCAAGTAGGTGGTAAAAGTTATGAAAGCAGGGAAATCAAACATGTCTCAGCACACCAACCTGTCCTGCCACATGCTCTGGATGGCAAACTCTGAGTCAGAGGAGGTCTGGAGGGTACTGAAGGCCCGTGCCACTCTGAGTTCACCATCCACAAAGCGAAGGTCGCCCCTGCAAAGAAAACGGAATCGAATCAAGAACCAAGATGTTCCTTTCAAAAAATGACGGAATCCTCAATACAGTCGAGTTTTAGGCTACCAAAATTATTGGGATGCTGGAAAAATAATCCATCAGTTAAAGTGCAGAAGAACATGTGTTGGGATGCACACAATTTCGATGATGCAAATCAAAAAATGGTACCAGTATGTGGCTGTGGCGGCTGTGGGCTTCATGCTGTTCTCCTTGTGCATCCTGGAATCCTGTAACAAACCGAATCAAACCCACGCCTCTGCTTCATCACAAACTTGAGGTTGATATTGTGGTGTTGTCTGCCTTGCCGCCCTTGGTGTTCAGATTGAGATGGACATGCTTTGTGTCCATTTGGAGCAACCATCCTGGAGACATGGAATCCTGACAAATAATCCTTCCCGTCTGGAACTGAAACGGTTTCTTCGTTTTTCACAGCTGTCCGCTCTCCACCTTGCTTTCTGGCTCGCCACTTGCACTCTTCTGAAGTGATCTCGAGAACCTGTCACGCAGATCCTCCAGATCTGTCCACCAGTAGCACCCCCCTTGGTGAAGGCTTGATGTGCGGAGTAGCGTGTATAAATAATTTGCCAATCCACTGGCACTTTCTTCACCAAGCCTGAGGCTTCCGAGTAAAACTCGATCTCCAACCCGGACAGGTGCCTTCCATCCAAGGTTCTAATATGTGGATCGCCATACACAGTTCCACTATCTACAGCAGGCATAGACGGATCTAGTGGTCAAGACGTTCTGATCTTGTCCGTTTTGCCCCTCCCTCCACAATTGCGCGCTGGCCCCGCAGCAAGTGCACACCGCCGTGTTGCCAAGGAAACTTGGTTTGTATGTCTTGTACTCGAAGGCCGGGAACCCAGAACAGTCAGACGCGCACTGTAAAAAGTTGACATTGAGTGTTTGGGATCCAGTTTCCACAGCACAAATGCAAGGAGCGGGCTGGCCGCTGTGGGGTTTGTCTGGGCCGCCTCCAAAACCAGGAGCTGCCCTTGGGCGCTCTGCAACAAGCACCCAGCCTCTGGCTCAGGCTGTACCTCGGCAACATGGCCGGGTACCAAGAGGAGGATTAAGATGGCAAAACGCAACGTCACAGCAAACACGAGGAGATTGAAGATCGCAGTAGGCGAGGTCTTGAGCAAGCAGGTTGCAGGGAGCGGTTTATCACAAATAAACAATAAATACCAGTAGTACCGAACAAGGCGGTGGCGGAAGTTTCAAAAATAGGAAACCTATAGGAGAGGTTGGTTGTTGTGAATCAGGGACGGCAGAGCGAAGCCACTGATGGACCAAAAGGTGCTTGAGGTCTCCTCTCTTTCTCTCTCTTTCTCTGACTATCTACCTACCTACCTACCTATCTATCTATCAACCTACCTACCTACCTAGCTATCTATCTATCTATCTATCTAATCTAATCTAACCTATCCTAATCTAATCTAATCTATCTATCCATCCATCCATCCATCTATCTAATCTATCTAATCTATCTGTCTGTCTATCTATCTCTCTCTCTCTTTCACCTGTCTATCTGTCTAGCTGTCTA